AATCTGTTGATAGCACGTGATTTCACAAATAGTTTTTGCATTTAGAAATAGTTTTAAATTATTTCACCAGATGGAGTTGCTAGCTTTCGAACTCTCCCTTGAATAGCAGTTTAAATTACAATGATTAGCAAGTAATAATGTTTAGGTCCGTGCCATTAAAAGCTTCACTTGCTGATTTCTGCCTTTCCAACCCTATGAAGGGGATGGGAGCAGACCAGCTGGCAATGATACAGCCTAGTGCTTGTAAAAATTAATCTTAAGGCATTTTGTGTAAGAAGCCGTTAAATAAATATCAGCTGGTAAAGGGATCTGCAGGTGTGGAGCAATAATAGAAAGAGAAAGAGGACTTTTCCTGCTAACCTGTTTATTGAACAGTCATTCTGATTTGCTTGCTCAAAGCTTTTGTGGACGTTAGGCTATGTCTGGTCTTTATTGAGCATTCATTCTGATTTATTTACAGGGAGGTTATAATGACAATGAGCATTCCACCTGAATTGTTTGCCACAGCAGTTATAAACCTTCCCATTACTCATTTGTTCATCCCATACAACAGAGCACTTTAATCCACTTTAATTGCGTGAACCAAAATTTCCTGGATGTCTTTTCATCCCTCCTGCAAAATACTGTCTGGAGGCAATCAGAAAGAGAGGGCAGAATCTGTGAAGACGTGGAACAACAACTTAGACTTAGCAGGGAAATATAGAAAAGCACAAATGTTGCCAGCTGCCCTTTGCAAGGAGACGTGCATCTATCCACAAATAAAAACAGAAGTAGTAAAATACATGAAATGTATGAATAGCTTTTGGGCGGAAGGTTCTAGAAGGCTTGCTGTTCCAAGAGACATGAGAGTCAGTGTTTCGGGTGGGCTAAATATACTGGGCACAATTGTATCACTGCTGCTGCTGCTGCTGCTACTAGTGCTAGAGTGTGCTCTGAAGGCATGGGAGTCTGGCACTGGCTAGTGCAGGGGTCGGCAAACTAAGGCCTGCGGGCTGGATCAGGCACACCTGGGTCATAAATCTGCCCCGCACCGCGAAGCCGGAACCTGTCGCGAAGCCAAGACTCCCGGCGATGGTGACAGGAGGGAGAGGCTGAGTGGCGGCAGCTCTGCCACCCAATTGCCGCACCTGGTTTACCTCAGTGGCGTTTGATTGGCAGAGACAGCCCCTCGCCATGCTGAGGTAAACTAGGCATGGCATCTGATTGGCAGAGCCACTGCTGCTCAGCCTCTTCCTGCTGTTGCAAGGAAGCAAGGCAGCGTCCACCACCGGCTCTGGCTCCTCTCACCTTTCCACCTCTGGAAGTCCGCTTTCCCTTCCCTGTCAGCTTCCACCTGCATCGCCAGGAGACGCTGCGTCTCAGAGCACAGCTGCACCCTGCTCTGCCATTGGATGCATGGACCCTAAGAGCCTAAGGACGCACATACTTGCAAGTAAGCTTCAATTGTTTCAAGGCCGCTTGTTCAGTGCCTGAAGAACTGCTCAAGCCCACTGAGATGAAATGTGTTACGGATCGCGCCCCTGGGAAGGTAAGCACAGTGGCTGGCCCCTCTTCTCTTATTCCAGCTCTGCCCCCATGCCACTTCTCTGGCCCACCACAAGGTCTGAGGGACAGTGGACCAGCCTGTGGCTAAAAGAATTTGCTGACCCCTGGGCTAGTGCTTGGAAGGTGATTGTATGGAAACCACATGTGGCGCTTCCTGTTTGCCACCTGAGGCGAATATGCCACCGCACTGCCTCCCTTACTTACACTGTGGGGCATGTGAAGCAATGCCAGTGGCTTCCAAAGAGATCTTGTGAGATCTCACCAACGTCTTACAAGATCTCTTGTGTTCTGTGAAGTCTCATGAGATTTCAGTGAGATCTTGCGAGATTTTGGTGAGCTCTTTGCTCATGGAGGCACCACCTCTTGGCTTCCTTGCCATCTTGGTTTCCACAGGGGAAGAAAGGCAGGCTGTGAGTGTGTGAAAACATAGACAAATAATTTCCATATATAACTGACAAATTTTCCCTAGCGCAAGCCTCATTGTAACCATCCCTCCGATCAATCACCGTTTACTCCTGCTTTATATGTGGATTACTGAGGTGCGAAGAGAAGAACTTGTCCAAGCTGGATCTACGGCAACAGGGGAAGCAGAGTTAAGACAGGTAGCCACCAGAGTTCTTCAAGGTTGTGGCACTCCAGGTGTAGAACCAGGGTAGCCAAATTTTTAACAATTGGTGCTGCCTCAGTACAGCTGTGCACTTTAATCTCTGGGCTCCACTGAAAATGGCTTCTCCATATGAACCAGGAAGTGACCTCTCCAGATGACAGAATGACTTCTTTTTTTTTTTATCTCTGTGGCTGTGATTTCCTGGGTGATGCAGATGCCATTAGACAGTTGAATGGGCATGTGTTCTCCATCTGTTCCCCTTTCTCCATGTGGCCCCAGGCTCTGGCAATCCACGCTACGCCACTGAGTCATAGAGGCAAAGGACAGAGTTCCCGGACCTTTAAGTGTGGTGTAGCGATTTTAGCCAGGAATTTTGTCATGCAAGCTACACCTGCTGAAATCCCCACTTCTACACAGCTATTAAAGGTGCAGGAGCCCCATATAATGTAGCTCTTTCTGGGTCAAGCCCAAATTCTGCTTTCCCAATGCAAATATAGAAAAGCATAGCATTCTTGAGGCAGTTATGATGAGTCTGCTTCTGTGGCCATGTCGCTTATCAACTTTGTTTTTTTATAGCACTGGGCTCTTGTGTGGGACCAAGAGGAAGGTCAGGGTGGAGACAACCTTGACACAATCTGGTGGTCATGGGTGAGTTTTAAAACCAGGACAGAACTTGGCGGGTCAAGAGTGAAGTCATGAAGGAACCTGGTAGTCCTGGATAAGGCGAAATAGAAACCTGTTTGGTTACAGGTGAAGAGCCAAGGCAGAATCTCAAATTCACTTGCTTTTCAGACACCCTGCTACTTATCTGATCAAATACAGCAGGAGTGAGGAATCTATAACCCACCTGATGTTGACAGACTCACATCAGCCCCAGGCAGCACAGGCCATGTTGAGGGGTGGTGGGCACTGGAGTCCAACATCTGAGGCCCAAAAGTTATCCAACCTGGAAATACAGTTTAATGGGTACAACCATTAAAATACTGGCTGATTGGCATCCCTATGATGACCTGTAAGGAAAAGTCTCCTGTTTTAAAGTCACCTCAGTCACTTTAGCAAGATGTTATCCTTCCTGTCTGCACATTGCAGAATACATAGCTTATTGTCACTTGGCATTTGGAATCAAGGAACATCTTTTTCTGATGCAGTTAGTGTCAAATGTAAAGATAAAACTGATGTTTATCAGAGACGACGCCCAGAGAGGACAATTTGAATCAAACGAAAGCCAGAGAAGATTAGCAAGCAGAAAAACAGAGAGAGAAAGAAGAGAGAGAGAGAGAGAGAGAGAGAGAGAGAGAGAGAGCGCACTATGTCAGATATGCTTTGTATATGTCAAATAATATTAAAGCAGCTACTGTGACTGGAGGATGCAGGAGAGATGGCTGAAGCTTTTGTTGCTGGTGGTGGGGTGGTGGGGCGGCCAAACAAATGGACAGTGGTAGCAATGGTGAGAAGGGGTGCAAACCTGCTCAGAGACGGGAAGTCCGCTGAAGGCCATCACACCCAAATCCCCATATCCTCCCCACCCCCAAGGACAAACCCTTAGGACCACCCCAAAGATTTTTAGTGGCTTGCAGCTGCACATGTAAAGCGACTTCACTGAAAAAGTGGAAGTGGTCTAAAATGTAGGCACTCCAGGGATGGTGTGATGGATACCTGTGATGGTCTATTCCAGTCAAGTCCAAAGTCCATCTTGGGGGCCAAATTTGGCCCCCTGGCCAGTTTTATTTGGCCCCGTGGCAGTTTATTTATTGGTGTCAAATCCAATAAATCCATTTTTTTAGGATTGAAGCTCAACAGCTTCAATCCTAAAAAATGGTCAGCAACTTCAACAGTTCACTTCATCAAATCTGGCCCTCTTTGAAGAAAGTTTGGGCACCCCTGGTATTCACATGTACACACACACAGCATCGCTGCATGGGTGCTCTGCATGTTGGAACCAGCACCAACGGAATGGGGGTGGAGAGGAAGATAACCGCACGTGCTGGTATGGGGGGATACCAGCAAATTGAATGCACACAGCACATTTAAGAACATCTCCTCAGGAAACAGCTCAGTCAGCAGAGCAGGAGGGGGGTGGGGTTGAGCCCCACCTAGGGCAAAACATTCCTGCGTTGCAGGTAGGGTTGCCACCTGTCCTATATTACTCAGGATTGTCCTGTATAATGCAGAATTGTCCTGTATTTCAATGTAAAATGCTACATTCTGTATTGATACAGTTTTGCCCTGCACTTCAGGTCTTCTCTCTTAGCCAAGTTAGGGATCCTCTCCAAATACATGTGTTTGAAAGGGTGTGCGAAAGGTCATGTATTTTATCTCCGGGTAGCCAAGCACAGGCAGATTTACAAATTCACGTGAACGTGTGTGCATGAGTGACGAATGCCAGATGGCCCATCTTGTGAGGCTGAAATGGATTGTAATGGATTGCTTTGAAGTCACTTCAGCACCGGATGGAGAGAAAAAAATCGCCCCCCGCCCTGTATTTTGCCAGAACAAAGGTGAGAGCCCTAGTTGCAGGGGGGGCGGTCTAGAGGACCTTGGGGGGTCCCTTCCAACCATTCTACGATTCTCAAAACAAAAGGACGGGAACAGCGCAACCTTAACCCCAGTCTACTCAGAAGTAAGACCTGTTGAGTGTCGTGGGGTAAACGGGGTTAGAATCCACCAGCAGCATAACGAGGCAGCCGGTGCTTCTTCCGCCAAAGAGGGATGCGCGCTGGCGGGCGCGAGAGAAATCCATTTCCCAGGGATCATCCGGGAAAGAGAGAGAGAGAGAGAGAGAGAGAAGAGGGGCGGCCGCCCCGCCGAGCAGCAGCGGGCGAGGAGGGAAGCAGGCGCCGCGGCTGCCGCAGGTCCCTCCTCCGCCTATGGCTGCTCTCCTTCTCTCGGCGCGGGGAGGGCGGAGCCTCGGCGCTTAGCCTCTCCGGGGGAAATTGCTCCGTGGAGCCGCTGCCGCTGCTGCTGCTGCAACGTCGAGTCTTTCCGAGGCGCGCGCGCGGGTGTTTCCTGCGCGGGGCGGGCCGGGGGCGGCTCCGGGCGCGCAAAAGGCGCGGGGCGGAGAAGGCGCGCGGGGCTCTGCCCGTCACGGCCGCTTCCCTCCGCCCCTTTCCCGGCCAGCCCAGGAGCGGAGCGTCCGCGCGGCCTCCGGACGGTCGCTGGCTCGGCGAGGCTTCTTCCCCTCCTCTCGGGCCGGGCTCCGTGGCCCTCGCTGCTCCGCCTCCGCCATGTCCGCAGCCGCGGGCGGCGGCGGCGGCGGGGCGGGCACTCCCAAGGCGCTGCCTTCGTCGGGACCCAAGTCTCTGCGGGAGATGCCGCACCCGCTGGCCGCCTCCAGCAGCGAGGAGGCGGGCGCCGAGCTGACGCCCAGCCCGGACTTGCAGCTGCCGCGCAGCATCGCCGACAAGGTAGCGGCCGCCGGTGGGGCCTGCGCGGGGTGAGGGCTGGGCTCGGTTCTTATCCTGGCTTCCGGGCGTGCGTGGTCGATCTGGGTCGTGGGAATGCGTTTCTTTGCCGTACCTGGACACCTGGGTCGCTCAGGGCTGCAAGAGAGTAATCTCCAGTGTAGGAAGCGTGCAAAAAGCAAGGGGGCATGTGTGCAAGAGGGACTTCAGCGTGGGAGCCAACTCCTTGGGGCTAAGGACCCTTCGCCCCCCCCAAATTGAGCTCCCCCCCAAAGCTGATGGGCATTGCCATTCAAATGATGTGCATGCACCACGTCATGTGATCAATGGTGTAAGGCGGGGCTTACCTGAGTCCCCTCAATATTTCATTCAAGTTGGCACCCCTGGACTTCAGCCTTCCACCAACGTCTTGCCCCCTTCACTAAGTTGGTGAAATGGTGCAAATCTTTTTTTTTTTTTTAAAGTCCTCTTCCAGTCTTTTTTGCCTGTTGTCCTCTCCTTTTGTGTTTGTGTGTGGTGGGTAAGCAACCCATCTGAGTATATTTTGGCTCCGGCACGGCCAAGGCAAGAATGGGAAAACAACAAAGCAACTTCTGTTTTGGGCTCGTAATAAGGACACAGTAATTTGTGATGGTGTGTTGACTCATCCGTGTTGAAAGTGCGTGGAGGACACTTGTGCGGAGGTTGGGTTTGCAGTGCTGTCACAACTGCAGGCTGTGTTGCAAGCGCGGGGCGCAGTGAAGCAATCCTTGGCTCTGTGCCAGGCTCTTTTCCTATCTGCCAGTTTGTGCACCTGACCTTGATGACCCAAATGGGTTGGCTTCCTTTTCTTGACTTGCCTCTGCTCCACCTTTAAGACAAGTCCTCCCTGGGGGAGTCGGCAGTATATTTAAGAACAACCCAACACTACTGCCAGTTAGGTGTGTCCACCAGAAGCCATTACCTGTTGGGAAAGGTTCTCAGAAACTGCATCGCTTACCTCTTCGATTCCCAACTTAGGACGATTGAAGAAGTGCAAACATGATCAAGGCCTGTATTTGCTGGCACTTTGGGGTATTCTTAGCTGACTTTAAATGGCCTGTGGATGTCTTGGAAGTTGGTTCTCGGAGCCCCAAATGGTAGATTGACTAAAGAGCTTGGTACAGATATGCCCAGGCATTAAGCAAGTTCCTGTCCTCATTTTAGACATAGGTGTCTTCTTGGATGTACGTATAGTGAATACTCAAGACCATGGGTAGGCAAACTAAAGCACGAGGGTCGGATCCGGCCCAATCGCCTTCTAAATCCGGCCCGCAGACGGTTCAGGAATCAGCATGTTTTACATGAGTACAATGTGTCCTTTTATTTAAAACACATCTCTGGGTTATTTGTGGGGCATAGGAATTCATTCATTCCCCCTCCAAAAAAATATAGTCTGGCCCCCACAAGGTCTGAGGGACAGTGGACTGGCCCCCTGCTGAAAAAGTTTGCTGACTCCTGCTCAAGACACTATAGTTTGAGGCTCTGACAACATCTTATATCTGGCAAGAGAGAATATTCTGCCCCAGTTAAGCATAGCTTGTATAACCTGAGCTGCAAAATATTGGTGCCATAAGCAACCAGAGGCATAGCAGTGGTCTGAATTTATTTGTTTATTTACAAGCTTTTTGAGCAACACCCTCCGCAGAGCAGCTTACAAATTCCTGGAAGTAAGTCAAGAGCATTGGCCTTGCTCCCTTTCCAAAAGCCACTGCACTTTTCCTCCCCTGTGTTCTGAGTACCTCACTTCAGCTGGGGCTTCCTATGCTGCTCCTGAGATTCGTAGGGCAGAAGGCAGACGAAGAGGGGGTGTATATGAAGCTGGAGCTGGTGACATGCAGAGCCACCACCGGACGAGTTGCAAGTAAGAAGGCAGGCAGGTTCTTCATTTGCCCCTGTGCACCAGCCTCCAGTGCTTGCTTGCTTCCTGAGTACCACAGTTGGTTGCTGCGTTGTGACCCGAAAAGAGATAAGTGCAAGCAGCCCAGCTTCATAGCTTTTCCCCCAGGTGTTGCTGTCAAGAGAGGTCATGTGTTTGCAGGCTGCAGGGGAAAGTCTGTGGCTTGCCTTGAGAAATCTGGCAGGTGCAACAAATGTATTGGTTTTGAGTCCTTTCTTGGGATGCGTCGGAAGGGACTCTGCAAAATACATTGGAGGAGAGCCACCTTAACTTGTGTGTGTTCCACGCACCAACCCAAAACTCTGCAGATCTGTTGTGGTTTTAACAGCTGCACACGGGGGCACTGTAGTAATTAATCACCTTGAGAGTTTTACACAAGCGGCAGTTCCGCATGGTACAACATCATGTAATTGGCTTCCCATGAGGTATCAATCTTGTACCAGGTGTGTGAACAAACAATAGGCCTCCGTTCCGTATACCTGGGCTACATGATGATGGAAGGATTGAGTTACCCTGGGCTGCATTGCTTTGTTGACAGCAAGCCAGTGGATTTCAAGCCACTGGGACTCTTTTCATCCTTGCCTTCCAAAGGACTCTTGTGTGACAGCTCCGGTTAGGATCCCTGCTTGTTCCTTTTTGGTCATGAAGGGTTGATTTACCGTAATTTCCACAGCCTGCTTTTTCTTAGGAGCTGCTGCTGCTGTATGAATTGTCCCATCTGTGCCACTCGGATAACGTTGGAAGTGCTACATCAGATAAGTTGCTGATGTGCAAGGTGAGAATTGGCCATGGGTGGGCAAACTAAGGCCCGGGGGCCGGATCTGGCCCAATCGCCTTCTAAACCCTGCCCGTGGAAGGTCCAGGAATCAGCGTGTTTTTACATGAGTAGAGTGTTCTCTTATTTAAAATGCATCTCTGGGTTATTTGTGGGGCATAGGAATTTGTTCATATTTTTTTTCAAAATATAGTCTGGCCCCCACAAGGTCTGAGGGACAGTGGACTGCCCCCTGTTGAAAAAGTTTGCTGACCCCGGTATTGGCCTTTTCCTGATCTGGAGCCTTCAGTTTTAACCAGCACAGGAAGGTTGCACCGGCAGTGTTCAAAATTAGCCAGATGCCAGGCACATTTTGCACCGGGCTATTGGCCACTTGCAACCAAGTGAAAATTCCTGGGTGCCAGGATGGCACCTGATATCTCAACCATCTGGAGGTGCATTCTTGGCTTGGCAATCATCGGATCTGGGTAGTTTTCACATGCTAATACTCCATCCTGTAGAATTCTATTAGTTATATTTTATCTGTACAATTCAGAATGGATTTCTGGAACCAAAATGCTATTTCTGTGCAGCCTGAGTAGGAGCAGTCAACCTTAAGAATAAGAGGTCGGAATAGGCCAATATATAATGTGGACTGTCCCTGGATCAAGTGACTTTTCTCCTTTTAAGTTCTCAAAGTTCTCAGCCTAGCTCTGAACTAGTCAGATGTTTAAATGAGAATCAATCACAGTCAGTCCATCATTTTAAAAATAAGACTTTAGAGCTGTCTTGCCCCAAAATGGCAACAAGACATTCCGTTTTGGTGACTGCAACCTTGGTTTAAGGAGCCATTTGGCACCTAGATTGTATATCTGAGTTCTTGACACTTTACCAGCCCCAGACTTATTGGGTCACTGCTGTACCTTGTGCTGAGACAAGGGACAACAGGAATGTAGTTTCAGGCAATTGAACTGAGCGAGGGGTTTGGGGTCAAACCTGGCCAGAAGCTGCATGCCCCGCCCCCCCATGGAGAGGTTTTGTAGGAAAATATACTTTGCATGTCCTTAGCAGCCATTAACTCGTTCTGAACCTTCATATCAAAATAGATCTTTATAAAGGCTCCAACTCTGGCTTGAAGTAAACCCTGCTCTTCCCCCAATCTTGAAGACACACTGACATCTTGACTGTGTTTGACAACAATTTAGCAGTTTTTGCAAGCATGCTTAATATAGAGAGACAGCAGCTATCCAGTTAGGCCTGCATGCAAAAAGGTCTGTTCAAGCCCTGTTCCTGGGATTTGGACCTGAATGCTGTGCCTCTCTTTCTTGAAATGTGTGGACTGCGGAAGCTTCATTGAGATTATGGCCCATACCTGCTGAGAAGCAGAGCTAGGTAACGGCATGTAATGCCTTAAGAGAAAACATAATGAAAATGATTTACAGGTGGTACATGACCCCAGTCAAGCTGGCAAAAATTTATCATTTGCCCGATAACAAATGTTGGAAGTGTAAAGAGACTGAAGGTACCTTCTACCACCTTTGGTGGACATGCCCGAAGATTAAGGCCTTCTGGGAAATGATCTATAATGAAATTAAAAAGGTACTCAAATGTACCTTCTCGAAAAAACCAGAGGCATTTCTCTTGGGCATTGTCGGCCAATTGGTGACAAAGAGGGATAGAACTTTCTTTATGTATGCTACAACAGCAGCAAGGATACTCATCGCAAAGTATTGGAAGACCCAAGATCTACCCACTTTGGAAGAATGGCAGATGAAAGTGATGGACTATATGACACTGGCCGAGATGACAGGCAGAATCCGTGACCAACGAAAAGAGACGGTGGAAGAAGAATGGAGAAAATTTAAAAGTTATCTTAAGGACTACTATAAACTTAATGAATGCTAAAATGTTGCGGTTTTCAGAAACAAAGGGATACAGGGATATAAGGCTAGAAAACTAAAAAAGGACTAAGAAGATAGAGATTGGAAAATGACAATTGGGAGTTGCTAGTTGAACTTTGGACACTGGGATGCAGAGAGGGGGGGTATGGGGAAGTCAAAGGAAAGAAGTTTATGAAAATATGTTTGAAACTATACGGGTATGTTTGTTATTTTTGGTGTTTGTTTGTTTTTTGTCTAAAAAGTTTCTAAAACCAATAAAAATTTTATAAAAAAAAAAAAAGAGAAGCAGAGCTAGGTAAGGGTTTTTGGTTTGGTCTTCACAATGCATTTTGGAACATGGCACCTTCATTGTTTAGAGGTTGGCATTAGGAGAACCCTTGTGTAGCAGCCAAGCAATGTTCGTGTGCTGCCACCCAGTTTCTCTACACTT